GGATCTCGGAGGAGAAGGTTGAAATCTCGGAAGAGGCCCAAAGGCAGGAGCCGAAAAGGTAGTAACTGCACTGTTGCGGGTATTGTGCCTTGGTAGAGACATCTTTCCGGGAGTTGACTGGATGGTTGGCTTGATAGGCTGCAGGTTTGTGATGTGATGTGATGCTGTTGATGTCCAGAAGAGGTTTGAAAAGGGTTAGCAGAGGAGCACTCGGCGACCTTAAAAACCACCTAGCGAGGCGGGTGGTGAGTTGTCAAAGAGAAGTTGCGATTGCAGCGTTGAGTGCAGGCAGGCTGCACCGGTTGATGTGGGTGGAGGGTCCACTCATCGGTTCCAAAGAAGGAGGGACGGGCTCTGGAGTAGATGCCTGAAGCCAGCGGCAACAACAAGAGATGGCGAGAGAAGGCAAGCAGCTACCGGTACAAAGACAGGTAACACCTAATCAAAAAGGGAGAAGGCAAACAGTTTCCAGATCCGGGACGAGGCGCAGCGGCAGGTGCATGCTACTGGGCGTAGCGACCTCAGGAGGAAAGAAGGGATTAACCCATTCCTCAAATGATCGTGCTGACAAAAGCGGCAGTTACCAAGCCGTCAAGGACGTAGCTTCTAAACCTGAGAAAGTGATGAACTTCTCTTTTCTTTTCCTCCCCTCCCAAGAGGTATCTCTCCTACCTTGATTTCTACGACAGGTGCGGTGCATCCCGCCCCTTCCTCCACCATTATCATGTCAATAGGTGCGTGACACAGGTTGAAGGCTCTTCAGAGGCGGGCTGCAGTAAGGGTCAAGAGAACGGATTACCGGAATCTGCGCCACCCCCTAACTCCTCCCAAGATCCGTGTAACCTACAACCTATATATAACCTCGTAGGCCCTTTTCTACCATCATCATCTACGACAGGATCTCGCCGCATTTCCCACCCCCAATGAATACACAACGGGCAAAGAAGAGGAAAAGCAACACCAGCGATGTCTAGGATCTGGTCAACCCATCACGAAGTTAACAATAGAAGCTACGGGATGATGTAAGTCGACAGGAAGAAGAGGAAGAAGAGGAAGAAGAGGAAGAAGAGGAAGAAGAGGAAGAAGAGGAAGAAGAGGAAGAAGAGGAAGAAGAGGAAGAAGAGGAAGAAGAGGAAGAAGAGGAAGAAGAGGAAGAAGAGGAAGAAGAGGAAGAAGAGGAAGAAGAGGAAGAAGAGGAAGAAGAGGAAGAAGAGGAAGAAGAGGAAGAAGAGGAAGAAGAGGAAGAAGAGGAAGAAGAGGAAGAAGAGGAAGAAGAGGAAGAAGAGGAAGAAGAGGAAGAAGAGGAAGAAGAGGAAGAAGAGGAAGAAGAGGAAGAAGAGGAAGAAGAGGAAGAAGAGGAAGAAGAGGAAGAAGAGGAAGAAGAGGAAGAAGAGGAAGAAGAGGAAGAAGAGGAAGAAGAGGAAGAAGAGGAAGAAGAGGAAGAAGAGGAAGAAGAGGAAGAAGAGGAAGAAGAGGAAGAAGAGGAAGAAGAGGAAGAAGAGGAAGAAGAGGAAGAAGAGGAAGAAGAGGAAGAAGAAGGCTGAGGTGAGCACAACGAGGAGGAACACTTAATGTCGCGAGGCTTACCGACCACCTTAAATCCAAGGAGCTTGAGCAAGTTCAAGATCGGACCTCTGGCTTCTGAGGTTTACCGCCTGTATTAAATCCGGGACTTTAAGCAAAAAGGCGTCTCGCCAGCGCTCCAACTCTTCATCCGCGCCGACTGATATTATGTTCCATTATCACCCCGATCCACCGTGCGAGTTTCCCATAAAACCTCTCTGTGATTCCGTCAAGACCGCCCAGCACTTGTGTGATATGTGTAGACAAGTATTCCATGGGTGTATGCGGACGTCGGTTAGCTATTAGACCTCTATGAGGGCTCGGACGATTACGAGCGTCTCTCATCCTAGCACAGAGAGTTGCTTCTTTCTTCATCACCTAGGTGGTGGCTAAACCACATGATAACTATCGTGTACTTGAAATTCTTGTCGTCGTTGATCCGGGTTCCAATTTAGGTTCGTCTCCAGCTACTAACTGCCTTTTGTTGTGCGAGACGTCATCGTCACAGGCGACTCACGAACACCACCATCATATTCATGCCTGGCCTGTTTGTCTCTTGCCTGCGCTGGCGCGCAGCTTCTGCGTTGACTCCACTGCTGTTAAATGCCTTACTCACATTCAAACGAGGGCTTAGCCGAGGACTTGCCCCAATCACCACACCGCTCCTGCCACCACAAGCCCCCCCATGCTAGATACGGCATTGTCACAAGCTATCTACTACTGCTATACTCACCCCAGCCCATGGGTTGTTCCTGCCTCCTGGTACGTAAGGTACCTTCCGCACGCGGGCTAGCCTCTGTCGAGACCTCTCAGCTGTGTCATTAGGTGAAGGCCTCACTCCTAACCAGACTCGGGCCAGAGAGTTGGGTTCCCCCAAACACCACCACCAGGTACCTTACTACTACAAACAACAACCCCATCCACAATCAATCACATCCACAATCACGACCAGAAGCCGCCGCCACCGCCACAGCAGGCCTTGGCCAACAGCTTCCGCCTTACCTTCCTTCCCTCACGCTCAAGACACCAGGCCAGGGGTGCAGTACAAGAGACGAATATCTCCTCCACCCTCGGTCCTATCCCACAAGCTCAGGTTTCCTTCCTAGACCACCACTAGCAACAACCTTAAGCTTCTTCTCACACATCACCTATCAACACCGAAGCCTCAGCTAGCCGCACTTCACATCAATCCTCCCTAAGGTAGGGAGCACGCTACCCCATGAATACCCATCGCTCCTTCCGACCAACCTTACCTACACAATGCTAACAGGTGCTCAGGGGAACCCGCAGAGAAGAAAAAGAGAAACGGAAGGGAAAGGGAAAAAAGGAAAGGAAAAAAGAAAAAAAAAAAAAACACCGCAATGATGACTTCCCCGCAGCGCACGGTCAATGATACCTTGGCTTTCATCTCCAGGAACCTCGTCTCCCGCCATGCTGTCGAGTCGATGACCAAGGACACCCTCGAGAGCAGGCCGACGGACGCCGAACTCCGCCGCCTATGCCAGGACACCATCCTCACGATGAAGGAGTTCACATCGGGCCACCAAGTTGTCTCCTGCGCCGTGCCAGGGGCTGTTCGGGCTCTAGCATTGGCCTTCGACAAGCTTCAGCAAGCAGACACGAGCAGGCTTTCGGTTATCATGAATGGGGGTATCAAGATCGGTCGGGAGTGGGATGAGGACGCATTCCAGGAGAATGGTCGGATGAGATTCTTCAAGGATATCATACATGAGGAGGTCCCCGGAACGCTTCTCTGGGAGGTTGAGGTCATCTCTGTCCCCGACGGCTCCGGCGGCTGCCGCAAGGAGCTGAAGCACGACACCACCCACGTCTGGGTCCCCTTTAAGCCTGGCGCTGGCGAGGAGGGGTCTCACCTGGGCGACTTCTATGCCGCGTTGTTCCAGGAGTACCTGAGCGTCGCGAACAAGGTGCCTGGCAAGACCTCGGCCAAGTACTTCGAACGCACCCCGTCCACCAACGAGCTAACCGTCTGGGACACCACTGGCAACCACGTCAGCAGCTTCGCCATGGCAATGATGCACGTCCTGGCCGTCCGCATTGCCAGGGTCAACCCTTCCGACGACGAGAGAACCAGCCTCCGGAAGATGCTGCAGGACGAGATCGTGGCGCGCTACTGGATTGCGGAGTGCAGGGCTGAGGACAAAAGCGACCAGAAGTCCACGTTCTTCTCGATGGGACTGCTGTTCTGGGCCATCACCCACCCTACGGAGCTGGAGGCCAAGATCAAGGGATAGTCGGGATTGACGCCAGGGAGTCTAGCTGCGAGGATGAGCAGGGACGTGTCGGGTGGCTTTGCGACGCATGAGGATCAAAAATCATCAGGCTGCCCGCTTCTGGCAGAGTGAGGGAGTTGAGTTGGTAACCTACTTAGGTATTACGTGTCGTAAGGGGGGGTGGATGGAGGTGGAGGAGCCGTAGGCATGGAACCCAAGGTACCTACCTAGCCAGCCTACCTATTGATGAACATGGAGGGCCAGTAAGCAGGTCTCCATTTCTAGAAGAACACAGTCGGTTAGTACTTGGTCGCCTTTCCACCGCTTCCGCTAGGTGATGACGGCTTTGGTCTCGGGGCAATGTTCAACCCCAGCCAACCCATGATATCCACTTCCCCTTCTCCCGCCGGTCAATCGGAGACCGCGCTTAATTGTACGCGCCAGTCTGATCTGCACGGTGGCTTATTAGAGGACTTATAGAACGGCCAGAGACCGCACCTGGTGACCCCACCTATCATATCATGCCCATCACACCACAAACACTGCTTCCGCCGCTGCTATCTGTTCCCTTTTAATTCCTACGATTGTACCTTACCAATGACAATGAAAGGGATAAGCAGCTTGAAGGCTAGTGTGGTTGGAAAAGTGTGTTAGTGGGGGTTCGCATGCCATCAGTACACATGACCAAGACCTTCCATCCAAAGGCAAACCACACTGGTTTTGCTCCTCTCTCAGCAGGTAAGGTACCTAGGCAAGCATACATACCCACGTCAGCATCTTCCCCGAACGTCCTTACTCATCATCACATCTCTATGCGTACGTCCATTCCATTCCATGATATTTTGTCTAATATTCAAAACTACCGCTTAGAGGGAACCCTACTCCAAAACACTGCCTACCGTCTCCCCAGCACCCAGGCGTCAGTTTCCACCTAAGGAGCACGGCTGCTGATACCTCCGTTTTGTTCAGGACGTAAGCCTTCGACCACAGCAAGAACAAGCGCAGATGATGTGCCGCATTATCACCTCCTCCATCTCCGAATTTGATACAGTATTTGTCGTGCTCAATCCTGCCGCTCCGCCCTGGTACCCCAACTACGTTAGTTGACGAGAGGGCGGTTTGAGGCGGGCCCTGAGCACGCACTCCAGTACATCTGCTGTATGGTTTGGATAGGGAACTCAGTACGACGGTCTATACTTCGATGTCCTGCCCCTCCCGAGGACCGTGACCGCAGCATATGCCCCTTAGGCCCGTTAGGGTCGTGTACCCACCACAGATTCCTCACGGGCTCTGGCGATACGGTCGAATGGAGGCCTCGGACGAAGAACCTCAGGTTCCTATTCCATCCCACGTCAACGTTGAACCTGCCGCGCAAGTCGGCTTGACCCAAGTTGTCCTAGGCTTTTTCCGAGTAGAGGAATGAAGTACGCCGAGACATGCCCTTCGCCCCGCTGGACCTGCTCGGCTGGTGGGGCCAGGGTATTGAAGCGACCGCGGCCGAGGGGAGAGGGCTGTGCAAACGCTTCGCGACATCGAGGGCGGCCAACTGATCGTCATCCTTGACGGAGACGTCAGCGTCCGCGTCAAGAAGCTGTTGGATGATGCTCTTGTCCCCACGTCCAAACAGGGTGCCATCGCCACCCAATCGGGCGCAAAGATGGGCGGTTGTTGACCCGTCTGGTCACTTGGCAGTCACATCGATGTCATCCGATTTGATGAGGGCTTTCATGAGCTGGGGTAATGCATCGAAGTCGTCCTAGAGGGCGTCGTATCAAGCCTGTGTGGTTGTGCGACCTGACTAGAGGTCCACGGCGGCCCCCAGTGCCACGAGAAGGAATGTTTCAGTTGGGCGTCAGGGCACAGGGGCTTGGACGTTGACACCGAGTTGCTGCGCGAGCCAGTTCGCGTATCGAAACCGCTTGGTACGACAAGCCCTGGGTAGAGTCTGCTGCCCCCACGACGTTTGGTCCGTGATGGATGTAATTCTCTGCTGAAGGATGCGTTTAGCGATTTTGATGGTCCTGGACCTGGGTATGTAAACACAGCAGAGATCGTGAAGCAGTGAGACTGAACGCTCGTTTCCAGGATGTGAGGCTCTCCAAGCACCAAGCACCAATGATACAAGTCTTACTCATCGGGGCTGAGGTGAGTCGCCATCGGAAACAATGCCTGAAGCTCCGGCTTTGATGAGTCTTTCGGCAATCTTGGACTGTCCATAATAGATGGCAGTATGAATTGGTGTCTTGGCTGCGTTCGGGGCGTCAAAGTCGGGATTGAAGTGGGGTGGGTGGCCAGGGTCGTCCAGGTCATCGCAAGACCAGCATGGCCCGGGGCTCCTGAGGGCTACGTCCGCGCCCTCTTCCAGCAGTCTCTTGACGAACCGCTTGTTCCCAACAACGATTGCTACTTGAAGGGCAGTGTAGTCATCAATCCAGGGTATGATATCCTGCAATCCCGCAAGCATCACGGGCGGGGGCGGGTCACCCTCTTCCCGGAGTTGACCCCAGTAAGGTGGCAAGGTGACATCTAACTTATCGGGGTGGTTCCTCTTAGTATAATCCACTGCGAGTTCGAGAAGTGTAGTGTCCCCGGTGATGATGGCTGCGAAAAGTGCCCGTCCATCGATTTCGCCCTCAATTTCACCCTCGATGAGGGTGCGAATTGGTGTGTCTAAGTGGTAAACGACCCAATCAGTGAGAGGGTTTAATTACGACGATAAGCATAAGTGTGCGTACGCTGAGCGTGTAAAGAAAGATAGTACAGCTTAACGGCCCTTAGTTAGGCTGATATATCGATGGGATATATTTCTACACCTGTCGTGTGCGTATTCAACACCCGTGTGTGCGTAACATTTGGGCGAACTCTATAAGTGGTTTCAGATTTACCGAAGACAATCCTCCCAGGTCGCCTTCCGGGGTACATACAGCAAGTGCATCAATACCATCGCGGGCCTCGGCCGGTATTGAAGGGAGTTGAGGCTATTCCCGCCGTCCCCGCGCCCTTATTCGTGACCTGATTAACCCACAACCATCACAGCCATCACAGCCATCACCAGGCGAGACTCCAAGTGAGCAGCAGATAGACTACTAGCTCACCATGGAGGCAACCACCTCTCGAGCCCTTCCTGCCTCCCGATACTCGCGTCTCTATAGCCATCATACCTAGAATCTACCCAGACAGACATGCTTAATACATAGGAGTAGCTGGTCAGGTTAGGGGGGCGGGTGACGCTCTCTAGAGCTTCGCAGGGCTGTTGACGCCGAGAAGCTGCCTAGCCTTTTTAACCAGGGGCGACTTTAAGCGAACGAGATGCTTAATCACCAGCTGCCGCAGAGCGTACGACAGGTCTGTTTGAACGTTGAGCAGGGCCCTCGGGGTCTTGTCGATGATCCAGCTGATGTCTTTCATGTCCTTATCGTCCTTCTTTCGATGTTCCGCTGCTAAGGCATTGACCTTCGACATGAAGATCTTGCCGAGCCGCATGACGTGAACGTTGATCGGCCTCTTTCTCTCGTTTTCCACTTTGAAGTCCTTCGATTGACCTGCAAGCTTTGGGGTGTCGTCAAGGTGCCTAGGCCGGCCGTTAGTGTCCGCAGACCAGCCGGAGGCTCCGGAGTGAGGGGCTTTACTCACCGGCGATCACTAAATCAATCTCGATGTATCTGGGCTTCCCTGCACTTCCTCGGTCGCGATAAACCCGCAGGTGAGACTCGCTCGGCCATCCAGGCCCAGGAACTATGTACTTTTTGTCTTTGCTTAGTGCAGCCCGTAGCTTAGGCATAGTGGTCTGTACAACCATGTCGATGTCGGTAGTGTGTCGATCTGATTGTCCGTGGATTTTCAGAGCGAGACCACCAGCAACAGCCCAGGGAATCTTATTCCGGTCAAGGAGCTTGCCGAGCGGGTCAAGGGTGTCTAGAAGACTAAAAAAGCTAACGTCAACCTCAGACTCCTTCTGAAGTGTTGCTGCCTCCTGTCGATCAAACCAGCCTTTGGTGATATCGCGGCCGACAACAGTAATGCCCCTCGGGAATTGGGTGCATGCTCCACCCCTACTCTTCCTAGTGAGGGCTTCTACCTCACAGAGGGTGAAGTCGGTGATGCTTCCCTTTGTCGACACAGAGGAGCCGAAGCCCCGGCCATGATATGTCGCGAGCGGCGCAGCCTCTAATGAGACAGCTAGGAGCCAGAACAAGGTTATTAGGGACCAGTAGATGGTGCAAGAGAGCTGTAGAGGCGGTGCCATTGGTAAACCCGACCAAATCTGTTACAAGATAAATGTTGCGAAGCTGGAAAGTCCTCGACCTTGAAGATCACGAAACAGCCAGCGAAGCTATGTAGTTCATAAACAATAGTGCCAAGCGCAGGAAGGATTGGCTTTATGAATTTGGGGCAGGACGTCGTATGCTTAACGTAAGCACGCTTCTTTGCAGGGCATCGCACCCGATTATTCATCCCTTCTCTATTTAGGTGTCGCGAACATCAACCAGATTATCCGCCCTGGGCCCCTGCGCATGGCCGTGGGTCAAAGGAGAAGGCTAGAGCCGGTTTCGCCGAATCTGATAGATACTACCCGACGGCAGTGTACGAACTGCAGACTGAGTGTGTGTGTTTGCGTATGTTTCCTCTTTTTTCTTTTTTTTCTTTTGAATCGTTTTCTCCCCCCCTTCCTTTCACCCCCACTCCGGTGCCCATCGTATAACCCTACGGATACCGCGATCCCACTAGGTGCTGCCTTCGCTAAACACTTAACGGGGCCCTTCCTACTGGTGCCCGGGGCTGCCGAAGCTGCCCGTGGCCCCAGTTAAGTACCCTTCGGCAATGGTGGCCATGAAAGGAGCGCACGTTTGAGGCAGCGTTAGCTCTACCCCTGTCAAGGGGTAATTAGAGTGCTTGGAGTTCGTAGTTCATTTTTTGACCGATATGTTCTACCCCGTCCCAAATTATATTCCGGTCAGCTCCTGGGCCCGGATAGCAGGCTCGGCCGACAGCTACCGCGCGTCCGGACAGGATAGCGAGAACGAGACCATCCAATCGAAAATGACATTCATCAGACTGAAGCATCCCTGAATTTGCATATGATCACTATAAGGCTACTGATTAGTCCAGGGTTGCGTTGCCCATTTACCCCTAGCAAAGCTCTTGACATCATATGAAGATGAGCAGGAAGAGGTGGACACCAGGCTAGATGGGACCGAATCCACATTCTAGAAGCAATTGCTCGCTCGACAGATATACTGCAATTGACCGCCCCTAAACATCACAGACTACTGGCACTACAGTCCTCTATCAGCCCTTTCACAAAGCAGAACAAATAACACCTAAACATGCTACGACGTTTTAGAAACCTGTGTTAAACGCTCAGACACCTAGTAGTTAGGCGACCTGAAAAGAAACAGCTGGGGCATTGGAACTTTTTAACAGAGCCTAGTGAAAAGGGAACAATGGCCAGAAGACATGACGGTGTCAACAGACCTCTAGTCATTTGAGTCTTGAATGTTCAAGGGCAGAGATGGTATTTGATCAGAGTTTTGGAGCAAAGGAGATCCACAACGCGTTCGGTTTGCCTAATGCCCTAGGGGAAACTGGTCTAGACCGCTGAAACAGGTCCGGTCATTATGGCGTTGAAACCTAACATGATCTTAACTTTTTCTATCGCACTCACGTTGGTCCTCTTGAATATGTGGCTAGCCTTGGAAATTGCTAGGTTGAAAGGATAATAGGTGCTATTGCGATCGTGGGCCATGTCCTATTCCTTTCTACAGCTTAGAAGCCATGAAACGGTAGTACGCAAGGCAGTTCCATTCCTTGTCGTATTTACCCTTGGAGAGCGTGATCCATTCTTCGCCTACAGACGTGGTCAGTCAGTATAGCTCATCCACGGCAAGATGGCAACATACCTTTTCTAATGACTCTATCAATGTTGGCTTTAGAAGAGGTTGTAGTACCTCCATAATCAATACTGGATAGCATGGGTTCAGTCCCTTTCCAACAACACGCATTAATGATTCATAGCCAATAGACGACGTACCGTTGCATACGCTTGACTTCATCCCAGTCATGGCGTGTCTGAGTCCAGGTGTTGGGGTTATCTGCCAGGCGCCTTACGTGCAAGTAGCTTGCTGTAAACTTGTTCTGGCGAAAGGCGGTCTTGCCAACGATGAGACCCACGTGAAGACAGCCCGTCTGATCGATGGTATACTGCTGACTAGGTGTCATACCCTTCTGTCCAGGATATGCTTTATTACAGGACATGAAGTAGTAGTGTGTGTTGTGGCTGGCGGAGAGTGCCCACAACCCTCTCAGCCGCTGCCCAAGCTGCGCTCGAATCGCGGGACAGGATTCCGTCCTTGTCGTAGACAACGCTGCCTATTGTTGCCATATCGCCTGGTGAACGGACTGTTATAGCATTGTTGGGGTTTGGCACAGCAAGGCCAGCTTCGGCCATGCAGGACGAGAGGAAATACAAAAGCCTCATCCTGTTCAAGGGGATGCAAGTTGAGAGACAATAGCAAGTAGATGCGGAATGAAACGGTGTAGGTAGCCGCGAATCCTCGGGTTTTATAAGCTTGTCTTGCCTAGTTATCGATTCATAATAATGATCCGAGGAACTCTCAGTGCGCAGCAATCGTTGGTTCAGATAGTACTCAGCCGTCGGCGACTCTGCCACGGACACATGAGAAGCCGAAGGTGGATCCCTCATCGGCTACGCCGATGAACTGGCAGACTCCTGGTATAGCCATGTTACCCAACCTGCGAACGGAGCTAATAAGCGCAGTACTGCGACAGGCTAACGATGCAGAAGCCTGGTAGCGACAAGGGGCCGAATTTGGAGGCCGCAGCATTTTCACTGCGTCTATGACTACGGAAGGACTGAAGAGGCTAACCCAACAGACCGCACATACGCAGTAAGGATAACAGTGAGCCGACCCACTTAGGTATTAGGCAGCTGTGACAGGATATTTCATCAGAATAGATTGACCCTAACATGGCTTGACATGTTCCTGCCTACTCGGTCTCGACCGTAGCGTAACTTTCCGCTTCACCTCATTCCTTCCCTTTAATATGTGCCGCCTACTTCAACCCCTACCACCCTTCCTCATTCTCTCCACTTGACTAGCATGCAATCACCTAACGTTGGCACAGACCGTTCCCCTCGACAACACATATCCTTTCACCTTCTCTACACGTCCTCTGACGTTAGATGCTCTCTCTGGTGTACACTTGGTACCTTCGACCTCGAAGTTCTAATATTTCCAGCCATTGTTGGACTTGAATCGGCTGCAGCGCAAACGGTACCTCCTGTAAGGCCTGGGAGAGACTAAAGAAGAAAAGAAAGAGGGAAAAAAAACAAAGAAAGAAAGAAAAAAGAAAAAAAAAAAACGCCTACCCAGTTGACAAAGTGACGGTAGTGGTGCCCGGAAGACTCAATCCATCTCTAGCCGTCCCGACGATGTGTTACAGTCAGCTAATTCCACACGGTACTATTAAAGGGAAGATTGTTGCTGCCCATTTCAAGCAAAGCGCAGGCCGTCAAGCAATACCGCCGCATACTGTATTTAACTTTATGACGAGCTTGACTTCTGGAGTTATTGACCTGACTATATATAGAGCTAGTAGCGCTACTAAGAGTAGCGCCGTCGTTCCCAAGAAACTCCGTGTCTTGCAAGAAAAAGAACATCAAGATCGGTCTTATTGGTCTCTAAGACAGGCACAAATACAGCTCGCAGTCTTTCGAGTACGAGACAACCTACAACCCCACGCGTAGATTTTGCGCATATAACGAGATTCGGCTTGCCAGTAGCCAACGATTCCACTTGTGACCCAGTACTAAACCTGACTGCAAGGACAGCAAAGGATAGCGATCGACCGCCCCACGCTGACGCTGGGCAGCTTATAACGGGTCACTCAACTTTTAGGATCGGTGTGAATAACAGGCACTCACTTAGAACAGAAGGACTACACTGAAGGCCACCATGACGCTGCAGGTTCTTAGTGCTCGCCTCCTGTACCCAAGTGATAACCTAGTAACAGGATTATTGGTCAGAGGGACTGTTCATGACTGACATAGTATGACCTAAGCCTGGCTTATAAGCAGACACCCGTAGCTCTTTGGCCATTCACTCTCTAACCGTTATTTGGGCCATTTTAAGCTTATCTTCACCACGCACACCGTTGGTTACAGAGTCTGAGACTGATTAACTCAACCTTTGAGAAGACATCACCTGTTAGGCTCAGTATAGTGGGGACGTAGAACCATGGTACAATATTTGGTCCACAGCAGTGACTCTGGACTCCCGTTAGTGGAATGTACGCTTAGATGGCGGGCCGTGACGGTCGGGTTACTAGAACAGGGTGTTTCCAGAGGTGGGCGTCAGACGTTGCGATGGCCCCTTAGAAGCGTGTATGTGACTCTCCCAACTACAGCATCCGCAATTGCTGTCAGGCAGACAACTAACTACAAGCCCCAGGAGACTGCGCAACCGGGTAGGTCGTTAATATACTACTTTACTCTTATACTACAGACCCCCTTGAGCTATTCTATGAATGCCCAATTGACTCCGAGTCTCCGCCCTTGGCCCGGGATATCAACAGACGTGTCGCGCATCTTCCTCCTCTATCGTCTCAGTCACGATGGAAGTACATCACCCCACAGCCTGTCTACATACACTTCCACATAATGTCCTGGACCTGCCTTATCTCAAATAACCCCAAACACTGAAATCGCTGTCTTCCGCTACTTACAAAGGTCAGATTCATATTCTAAGGCGAGGCAAGACTTGAAGCTTCCTGGAACGAAGTCTTACTTACCTTGGTCCTCTACCCAATAGAGAAGTATACGTTCTGGTTGCCGTTTTCCTTCTTGACGACGATTTGAGTTATACCTTTACTCCGTAACATCTGGCCCACTGCCTTATAAAAGGGTGTGCCGCTGAAGATAGCCCAATCTGTTTGATGGTTGGGGGTAATCCGGATTTCGTCCTTAAAGCAAAGTTTGTGTTTATCGCGGTATTTCTTCATGGCCGCTTTTGTTTCAGCGTTCTCGACATCATCGATGATCACTAGCTCTATATCGTCCGGATCGACAGACTTCTTTTCGCATAGCGCCGCGAGAACCTGCGACAGTCTCAACTTCTTCCGATGGTTGCTCTCTAATCCATTGTACGCAAGATAGACGGTCATCGTCTTCTTATTAGTGCTGATGCCGACCTTATCCAGTGGAGAGCTGCCACTAGTATAATGACTAGATTTGACGTAGTATACGCCATTAGTGTGCTCGACAGTGTAGCCGTGATCCTCTCAGAGACCGGCAAACACTCCTAGGAGCGAGATGGCAAGTACGAAATAATGACGGAGACCGATCATAACGAGAGCTTGGCGGTTGGAGTTTGGGGCTGGACTGTAGCATAACCAGACGAGATATAACTCAGCTTTAAATAAACAAGCCGACCGTTGGTAAGCCCGCAAGACACTGGTGCTCTACATAAAGAGACTGGGTTTTGCTCAGGTTCGGTGTACGCGCTCAGTCGTATTCCACGTCAAAGGGCCAATCTCCCAGATGTCCTTGCACCCATGCTCAACGGCGTCTCCGAGGCTATTCTGGGGCACTCCCTACGCGGAGGCAATCCCAGAGAAAACCAATAGTCGGGGAGGTCATGATAGTATGAGAACCACTAACGCTCAGTCGGACTGAGGCAACTACATAGGGACCCATCAAGACCACTTTTATCTGGTTAGATAGCTGATGCGTCCAGTCCGACGAGCTTGATTTGCTTATGGATATCCAGGTCGTCTTAGCATTCCAACAGGGGCAATTACCCCAAGGACACCTAACATCACATCTAAATTGAACTCCTATCTATACCTTAGGGAAGCAAAAAGGAAGAAGAAGAAGGAAAAGGAAGGATAGGGAAGTCAAGGACGAAAAGTGAGAGAAAACCAAACCGTTTCTAGGGAAGCGAAGTATGAGAAGAAGAAGGGACAAAAGACCATTTGCTATTACACCTCTATTCAGGAGAAAAGGTTACATTGAAGAGTAGCGGACACGTCTCTCCTAATCCCCCTTTTGCTGTTGTCGCCGCCGCCCGAGCCCATGACACCGCACCGCTTGATGGACAAACAACGGCAGCAACTAGGAGCTTTGCACCTGCAATTAAATTAGGCCGAGCCGGTGCTCATCTACCGGCCTTGCGGCTACGCCTTAAAGCCGTTCGTGGAACGCGTAAGCCGGCATCCAGCCGAGAAACACCACATGCCCAAGCCGCAAGGCCGTCGGCCGTCCCGCGCTGCTGAAGTCCATACCACTGGGGGACCCGAGCGACGTCCTCCCCCTCATCCCGATGGCCTCCCACCCCATGAAGCGCTGATGGTCACCCGCGGCCATGCCTGCCACTACTGAGACTACCGGACAGCAAGTGATGACCTTATCTACCGCCACCTCTCCAAGTCACGGAGCCTCTGGATGTGGAGACATCGTCAAGTCCGAGTTATCAACCCGCAATATAGAATAGATATTATCAAGAAGGGTTCAATAATCGATGCCACCCCCATCTCGAATGCTCTCTCCCTTGTCGCCGGTCGTTTCAATATCAGAACCGCCCTACTTCCGTTTAGGCGGGATCGCCGTGACGTCTAGGGCGAAGAACGCATAGTTTTGGGCGTTCCTGATCTTGTCCTTATCTGTAAGCTTCTCGCAGCTGACGTTTCGTGTTTAGCATTTGCAAATCTCTCGTGGTTTCGAATCAGGTATCATCGGATATAGGAGGGAAAGACTTACTCCTCCACTGGATATGCCAGGTCAATACAGCGCTTGCCCTTGCCGACAATAGCGTCGAGATGCTGCGTCTCGTGCAGCAATATCATCCCCGAAGATGGCGTGTATTTTCCCTTCCGCCAGTTCGAAAGCATTTGCGAATTGCTGGCTTTCTTGAAAAAGGAAGGGCAGGCGAGGAGGATGTTGGTTTTGAATACTTGGTCGCCGGCATTGATGGCAGCAGCCGCCACCCCGCCGTTGCACAAGGGAAAGTCCTTAGGGGGGCATGCATAGACCAGTCGTTGTGGGCTCGGACCGCCTTCATCGTATGACTTGACGGTGCTTGACGGCATCTGCAGGAATCTGTTTGGTGCCCCGAAGTGGCTGGTCTTGATCGTAGAAAGCTGGGCTTTATTAGCATTGGTTCCTATCAGTATCACAGTCAGCACTCGACTCCATAAATAGACGCCAGACGCAAGAGGCATAGGAGCCCGACTTCACCGTCAGTAGCAAGACGTGTGAATAATGAAATGAAGTTGTTGACGTACTGCCAAACCATCTCGTATAGGCCTTCGATGTTGTCCCAGCATTGTCCAAGGCCACTATGGCTCCGTTGGCTAAGATCTTCGCGTGCTCAACTGACTTCTCAATATCTTTGAGTTGCGATGATGAGCATGGCCAGTCGCTTCCTTTAGTCATAGAGACCCAGGACGTCAGCGCTCGCTTGTCATAAGAGGCGAGAAGGCCGCGTTCGGAAGGAGTTAACACGCCAAAGACATGGGAGAAGTTCAACGCAACGAACAAGATGGAGATGACTTTCCGCATGTTGAAGATGAAAGTGCTGGGACTTCTCGCTTGGGTGAGTGGGTGTTGGGCGCTGATACTCGGGTGGAGGAATGATAAAGCAAGCAATACAGTTCGTCCTACTGACCTGGAAACGAATATGCCTGACTGTGGGCTTTATAGATTGCATTTAGGTTGCTCAGCGTGATGAGCAATGGCTGTGGGCAAGAGATTCTCGCTTGTATGCGGTGAAGCCGACATATCGTTATGTGCTTCTTTGGGTTATACAGGGTTAGTATCAGTGACCCCAACCACGCGCCTTTGGAGCTTCCACTCCTGTGGATAGTAGGTAAGAACAC